TTCAGAGTGGCAAACCTCGAAAAAAAACTAAAAAAAAATAACAAAAAAATACAATGTAATGTTGATGATGACTTGAGTGCTTGAAAGTCTTTTGTTGCTACTCGACAGGTAATGTTTGTCTTATTCTGTATTCGATATGTGATTATCATCAGACTAGTAGTTATGTCTGCCACACTCTCATTTACATTTAACCTCGTGATATTTGTGACGGTAGCAAAGATTCACCTGTATTGTGAGTATTCCTCCAGGAGGATCTGAATCGTACTGTATGGGGTCTCCCTGTGAGATGTAAGGTGGTAGCGACTTCCTACCTAATGACACTGATCTGACTGCCATGACAATAGTATGTCACTGTCTCATTTGGACAGGCATGGATAGACGGAGGATACAGAGCTGGTTGTCCCCATACTAATGATGAACGAAACTTTTTATTATTGACAAAAGTGTATTAGGCTCACCTGTCAGTAAGACTCCGCTATAGAAGATAAGTAATTGTATCATTACGCTTGACTGTCATTTTCCTGGCACAAACATAAAACATGCGCAAAGGTCTTTTATGGACTAGCGACTGAACCAATTTGAATGGCCAATGATAATAGCCGAGAGGGGAAATCCTGCACTGCGGGCTGATCGTATAATATCCATGAAACGATTTTGCCATATCTATCTAACGATTTAGCTATATCCAAGCAACGATTTAGCTGTCCGATTTAGTAAACAGTGTCGAAAATGGGTAGTCTGATGTTTGCTTTACAAACGTGAATTATGGCGCCCCATAAAATTGCGCGTGGACCAGCTGTCCCCGTAAGTGCGCTATAGCGTAGATCAATAGCGCGTGTTGTCAAAAAACACGTTTTAGCTAAAGCGCATAGGCAAAGGGATTTGCACGTTAGCCCGAAAGCCAAAGCCACCTAAGTCGATCGTTTCGTGGGGCCAGACATTCCCCCAAGAGTATACTGCTTGCGGCGTCGGCCCGCTCAGCTACCTCCGGCGGTCCGCACCTCCGCGCAGCTTATGCAGGCAAACCTAGGTTTCGAAACCTCAATGGCCCCTCCCCTAGCTCTCGATCATAGCACAGGACTGCGTCCGGGCGGTTGGCACTCTGGCACGCTGAAATTGCTTCCGGTCATGCGATATCTCTCGGTGGCGTCATAGCTAAGTGTTTAGCTTCTCTGACAGCTGGAAACTGACCCTTTGAGGGCAAGGGAGAGGTCCTTCAAAGGTTCACCGTGATGGTAATCTTTCTTATCTTCTATAGCGGAGTCTTACTGACAGGTGAGCATAATACATTTTTGTCATTAATAAAAAGTTTTGTTAATCCTTAGTATGGGGACAACCAACTCTATATCCTCTGTCTATCCATGCCTGTCCAAATGAGACGGTGACATACTATTGTCATGGCAGTCAGATCAGTGTAATTGCGTGGAAAGTACCACCTTACATTCCCTTGGCAGACCCAATTCAGTATGCTGCAGAATTGCTCGCTGCTATACACATGAATCGTGAGGATAAATTCTTTGCTACCCTCACCAATGTCACGAGGTTGAATGGGAGTGTGGCAGACATGACTACTAGTCTAATGATAATACGTATGGGATACAGAACAAGACAAACGTCTCCTGTCAAGTGATAACAAGAGACTTACAGAAACCTCAGTCATCATCAATATTGTATTTAACAGGTTTGCCACTTAAAATTTTATTGTGTCACTAAGCAAACTTATTGAAATACAGCTATACCAAGCTTAAAGGCACCCTCTATTACATACCAAGAGAAGAAGGCACACATCACAGCAGTACTAGAGCTCGGAGATATGTTTGATGGAGGAGGAGTTCCAATTGATCACTACATTATTCAAGTGGACAACGGCACACAGTTGGAAACTCCAGGCCCCACTTACAGTTTTGACATCATGTACAATACTACACTGTCAGTGAACATCTCAGCCCATAACTGTGCAGGATACAGTGATTTCTTTCGAGTAGAGATTGAGTATAATGAAGATGAAACATTCAGTTCCAAAAGCATTGTACCATCCACAGATTCAGTGGTACACCGTTCACCCAGTATGACACAAAGTCCTACTACCCAGAGTCCTTCTAGTGATTTCTCAGTTGTTACAATAGTAGTACCAGCTGTACTTGCTTGTGCACTTACAGTCATCACAATACACTCCATTGTCATCACCTTACTGATAATCTACAGACATCGTAAGTTGTCATTTCTACTCAAATGTTTGTTCTGCAATTGTCCTTATTATTATAGGTACTAATAAAAACAGACAGCAGGAGAAGTGTGATGTGGTGGAGAACTCTGCTTATGGTGTCCATGTTCAAGGCTCAGCTGGTGATAGACTGGAGCCAGACTACAACATGGAGAACAACCCACTGTATGAGATGAGGATACTGTCAAATGAGGGACACTCACACAAGACACAAACACCAGCTCCAGTCCCTGTGTATGAGACTGTTGACAGTGTGGCATTTTAAACTGTTTTTACTGATTGTCTGTTCCGTTTTCAAATACTGTTGCCAAACAGTATCATTGTCAAAACCTATGTCCTGATGGGCAAAACTGCAAATATATATTTTTTATGCATGGCAAGTGCATAGCGATTGGATTACTATAGCGACAGAGATAATCAAACAGCACAGTGCTACTCACCTTATGTCATTAGTCCACATTAGTAATATGACCACAAAAATTCATAGTGGGAAGGCAGTCAAAACAAAAAGACAAGTGCAAAGTGCATGAGTAGAATACCCACAGGGTTGCATGCACAGTTAGGCCAAAACTACGTTCTCTTGAAATGGGTGCGGGCGGCGGATTAGAAACCCATATATATACACTTTCCTACATTCCTTTCGGTCACAAACTGTTGTAAATTTACACACTTCTAGAAACGTTAACAAAACTCGCACAATTGTGAATTTTTACCCGGTAGGCGGGCGGCATGGCAGCATTATCTCGTAAAAACCACCCACGCATCCTCAGAGGTGGTCGGTCGGCACTTGGATGTGGCGGTCGGAGCTTTGATGTTCCTTTCACCAGTACTCTAAAAAATGCAACAAGGTCTGGATTGAGTGAGACATGTCGTAAATGTCTGAGCAGGCTGAAAGGCAGGCACAGAGGCTGTGCGTGGCAGACGGGCGGCATGGCAGCATTAGCTCCCCACGCATCCTCAGAAGTGGTCGGTCAGCACTTGGATGTGGCAGTCGGAGCTTTGATGCTGCTTTCATCTACCCTTCCAGTACTCAAAAAAGCAACAAGGTCTGGATTGAGTGAGACATGTTGTAAATGTCTGAGCAGGCTGAAAGGAAGGCACACAGAAAGAAAGATTGCCACAGCACAGGTGTGCAGGACATGTACTTTTGTGTGCCCGTACAGCTGTCAATGTTCCTTCCAAAGTTGATACCATTTGTAACATGTTGCCAATATTGCCATCACAGTCTGAATTAGCGCCACTAAAGCTGAAGCGTAAACTAGCACACAGAGGCCATTATATTATGTATGACTACATAACTCTTCAAAAACTGTTAGATGTGTTGACATTCTTGAAAGCTAACAATCCGTTGTATGCTGACATTGATGTAAATGAGGAAGCAGCTATCATGGCTAATGATACTGAACTTTGTGAATGTTTGCTTGAACAGTAAAATCATAGTGATGAGATGCCAAATGATGCTATTCAGCCTATTGTTGATTCCTTAATGCGATTGCTATGGACTGTTCTGACAGTGATGATGCCCTCTAACAGCTGTGCATAAGCTAGAAATAATAGCCAGTCAAAATGGTTTCACTATCCAGGATGTGCTATATGATGGTGACTGTATGTTCAGTGCTGTTGTATACCAGCTAAACAGTTCTGGCACATGTGATTAACCCTCGCATGCGCAGCGAGGGTTACTGTAGTTGGGTATGTGTGTCTGTTACTCAACATCTCACTTCTCGAGTGTTTGTTCGTCTCACAAACGATACGACCTACTCAACGGGCAACGAAGGTCAGAAAGTTTGTGGGGTTTTCTCTGACAATGCTCCGTTGCAAAGCTAGAGCGCTTCAAGCATTGTACGGCTAATGCGTAGTCGGCCATTTTTATCGCTGCGGAAAATGCGCATGCACTTATATTTAGCACAGGCTAACTTACCTAGACCGGATCCGCTTGCTCTGTGTATCTTGAAGGCACAAGAAGTCACAACGAATGGCTTGTATCGACTCTCGCATGCTATCTACTACTGTAGCTAGCCCGTGTCAGACTCTCTGCAAACTACTAGCGGGAGACCGCGAGTAAACGCATACTAATACAATTAGCGGTACCGCGTATGCGCAGTTGGCCGAGGGTTTGCACTTTAGTGCTTTTCATTTTTCAGGTAAGTATGTCACCCTGCATAGTTTCCTTATAAATTGTAATAATATATATATACACATATACATTGTACATACATTATACATCCACATACATTGCAAATCCTTTTGTACACAGAAATGCAAGAGTGATTGACTACATATACACTGTATACAGCATCAGCCTGTCCTACATCTGTGACAAGGTGTTGTATCCCCTCCCTCGCAGATGTTCCCATTGGCAGTGAAGAGACTGACAACTGACGAGATGTCGAAGTTGACTTCTCTGGTGGCTACCCTTCCAATGGAAGTGACATGGTAGCAAATGTGCAGGCCAACCATTCAAGGTTTGTAGATGTGTATAATATGTGTATGTGTATGTATGTATGTATGCATTTCCTTGGAAAAAAAGAGCTGTCCTAGGTATAGTTGATTTGTTTGTTGTGCCTTTGCCTTTCTACCTCATAGTTTTCACATGCATATACTTGGCTTGGAGTTGGGCGTCATTGGTGGTTTAATTACCCCGGTCTGCTCCTACATGCTAAGTGAGAGTTTACTGTGCCATAGCATAGTTGGAGGTTTGCCTTGTGTTGTTTTGTGTTGTAGATTCGAACCCCTACCAGCTGAGTTGCCCTGGTAGTTCAGTTGGTAGAGCGCTCGCCTAGACTGCAGAGTGTCGTGGGTTCGAATCCCACCTAGGGCAGCTCTTCGTTTTTCCTTAGAAAAAAAGAGCTGTCCTAGGTGTAGTTGATTTGTTTGCTGTGCCTTTGCCTTTCTACCTCATAGTTTTCACATGAAATTATAGTTCATAGCATACCAGCCATAGGTATATATAGATATTGGCTTTTTCGCGCTCTAGCTTTGCAACGGAGTGTTTTCAGCGAAAACCGCACATATTTCTAACCTTCATTGCCCGTTCAGTAGGTGGTATCCTTTGTGAGACGAACGAACACTCAAGAAGTGAGATGACGAGTAACAGACAGACACACACACACACAAACCCAACTACCGTAACCCTCGCTGCGCATGCGCGCCGAGGGTTAATAACAGCTCACGCTTTACTTACATACTATTATAGAAAGAAGGAAGAGAAAGAAGTGTGAGAAGGGCTGCTGGGGCTTCACTTGACATCTACAGAGATAAAAACAACACAAACCATATGTACTGTACATCGCATCTTTTTTCTCTTGGCATCACATGGTATTATTTTGTACATGTGTATGTGTATGTATGTACAATGTACTTGTGTATGTATTATGCTTACATATAACTTTACTGTCGCTGTCAACGCACATCAGCCCTTATGTCGTTACTCTCTAATTCTGCTACACAGTTGATGTAGCTCGGTCTCTCCTCACAGTCGACTTGTGCACAGCATCTCCCAAGAAGCGGAGGAGTAGAACTGTAATCTGATAGTAGATCTCAGCTGCTTGCTTTGGGGCTGCATTGTGGAAGAGTTGAGTTACACAAGCACAATAGTTATGTAACTAGAACAACAAAAGCAGTTCTTTGCTAGCAAATCATAAAAATGTGACCTTGGTGGATGATGCTACATTTTGTTTTCATTGCCAAGTATCGGTTGTAAAGGCATTGGGAAACATCCAGGGTTTTCTAATACAATATGTATATGTCACTTTTGATAATAGCCTAAACACTTGAGCAACTCTATGCACATGATCAATGCACACAAACCCACAACACAAATGCATTGCTGCATGGAGGGGAATTTTCATGTGGCTGGTATTTGCAGCAAAACGAAAATTTTCACAGGAAAAACCACAATTTAGAGAAACATTTCTGCCAAATAAGGAAGGGAATGCCGGCCATGTTCTCCATAGAGTCCAGGGAAGCATCAGTATTATGTATTGTAGCTGTTGTAGGTGGAAGAATGCAAACTTTTAGCCCTTACATAATGCCACATTCCTATAAGAGTAGCATACCAGGCAACAATATAGGGATTGTGTGATGGGGTTGGGGGTGTCAGCGTGCTCAAATCTGTTCATTAACCATGCTTCATGTATCCCATCCCTATCTTGTCTCCCTTTCTTTTTATACCATCCTCTTTTTTTTTAATTCGCAGGATTTTTAATTACTTGTACAATGAAAAGCACTAAAGTGCAAACCCTCGCGAACTGCGCATGCGCGGTACCGCTAAATGGATGGGCTGGGCTTTTGGCGTTTACTCGCGGTCTCCCACTAGTAGCTTGCGGATAGTCTGACACTGGCTAGCTACAGTAGTAGATAGCATGCGGGAGTCGATACACGCCCTTCGCTGTGGTTTCTTGTGCCTCCAAGGTACACAGAGCAAGCGGATCTGGTCGAGGTGAGCCACGCGTTGATCGCGTCTAATACACGCATGCGCACCGCTTATTGATGGGTTGGGCCACGCAACGCAGTCTGCGACCGTGCCAGTTTGTCGCTCTCGAACGCAGTCATTTCAGGAAAATCGCCATTTTTTTTCTAGCCCGTGTACCGCTGAAGCTGTTGGTATCGCTCATAAGCCGCCTCGTAGCCTGTAGTGCGAGAATAGTCGTAGACAGACAGACAGACAGACGCACAGAACGACAGCACCTGTTGTGGGTTGGGTTATAGAGGTTTGGTTTGCCACCCAATCACATTCATTGTTGTGTCTTGCATAGGACCTAACCCATCATTGAACCCATATACAGTAGCAGTTGAGTCAGCATGCTCACTATGTCTTGATACATATAACATTGTAGACATATTACATTGTCACATGCAGTAAGAGACAGGTGACAGTGCTAGAAAAATGTGCACATGAACATGTTGTAGTACAATCCCCAGGAAATTCTGCCAAGGGCACATAAAATATAAAGTACATACTGGCACTTGATTTCCATATTTATTCTAGGCAACTACATAAGTGTGGTTAGGTTGCAATTAGGCTGGTTTACCTCTTCTTTTCCTCCTCTCTTCCTCCCCTCCCAAACACACAACTGGCTTGGGAGAGCACCCTCTAGGCCAGCTATAAAAGTCTGATCCACCAGTAGGTATATACAGCAGGATTCCTGCAGCAAAGAGCAAAATTGAGCGACAGATATATTCATAAGGCCATAGGTATGTAGTGGCTTTTGCCCTTGACTCCCTAATGTAGTACACATGTGAATGTCACATGTAGAAGAAAACCATGTGATGACGTGCAACAGTTACACACATTTCCCTTTTCCTGTGGGTGGGGCTTTGGGAACAAGACTTGTTAGGTTGCAGGCCTCCTGGTCTCATCCCCAGACCCCCATCCACAAAATGGGAAAGGGTCTGGTGACATTGCTTGCTTTCTCGGCTGTGCTGATTCAGCAGGCATTATGATGACCCATGTATTAGCCCACTGCATATTGCTGAATCAGCACAACCAGACCCTTTCCCTTTCCCATTTTGCAGGTGGGGTCTGGAAATGAGACTACCCCCTCACCTGTTATGTCTGGCTTGGGGCCCACCCTGTGGGGCCTTTATAAAGGCTAGTAGTGCAGCTCAACAGCAGCAGTGTAGAGAGTTGCTGATAAAATGGACGACAGAGTCAGAGAACACAGAGCTGACAGAGAAATGCAAAAAGCTATTGGTATGTACATATTCAGAGTAGCATCTATTTATTAATGGTTATTATTGCTGCCACTGAATATAGCTCATAATCTTTTGCAGAGCTAACCCTAGAAGCTGCTATAGCCATACTGAAAAAGAGGCGTCCAAAGCGCAAGAAGGTAATGCTAAAGATACTAGCTACACACTACAGGAGACCATGATATGTAGGTTGATGTGGTAGTGAGAAATTTCTTACCCCAACGTAGGTACTATACATATATAGCTTGTTCATGCTAATTCAGGCACCTTGCACTCAGAACCTTAGTGCCAGTATTACTAGATACCAACCAAAGAGCTGCCTATATACTCACCCCACACAGGTATGCAGATTCTATTGGCGGGGCCAAATTTGCCGCTATGGTGACGAGTGTCGATTCGTACACGGTACTCCAAACTTCTGTTAGATATTTGAGATATTCTGTGGTTTATGTATCTCTCAGAGAGGCCGAGAGAGAGGCAGAGGGAGAGGTCGAGGGAGAGGTCGAGGGAGCCAACCCCACATCGCGACCCTTCACATCAAGAAGAAGACCCTGATAATGTTCTAGCTATGAGCCCCGAGCAATGAACTGAAATGGATTTTTCTAGTACATGAGATCACTTACAAACTCATTTTGTATATACTTATTGATTTGGCTACTTGTGTACTTGAGGTTATTAACCCACGGCACGCATCAGTTAATAAACTGTGCAAAACAAAAAGAGCTTCCCAGTTAGCAGGGAGTCTCACTGAGACTCCCTCCCAGGTGGGGCGACGAGGACGCCGGGAAGCTTGCCCACCCACAACCTGCCACACTGGGCAGGGAGGTGCCACACTGGGCACAGACTGCCACACTGGGCAGAGAGGTGCCACACTGGGCACAGACTGCCACACTGGGCAGAGAGAGGTGCCACACTGGGCACAGACTGCCACACTGGGCAGAGAGAGGTACGTGCCACACTGGGCACAGACTGCCACACTGGGCAGAGAGAGGTGCCACACTGGGCAGAGAGGTGCCACACTGGGCAGAGAGAGGTGCCACACTGGGCAGAGAGTGCCACACTGGGCAGAGAGAGGTGCCACACTGGGCAGAGGTGCCACACTGGGCAGAGAGAGGTGCCACACTGGGCAGAGAGGGTGCCACACTGGGCAGAGAGAGGTGCCACACTGGGCAGAGAGGTGCCACACTGGGCAGAGAGAGGTGCCACACTGGGCAGAGAGGTGCCACACTGGGCAGAGAGGTGCCACACTGGGCAGAGAGGTGCCACACTGGGCAGAGAGAGGTGCCACACTGGGCAGAGAGGTGCCACACTGGGCAGAGAGGTGCCACGCTGGGCAGAGAGGTGCCACACTGGGCAGAGAGAGGTGCCACACTGGGCAGAGAGAGGTGCCACACTGGGCAGAGAGAGTGCCACACTGGGCAGAGAGAGGTGCCACACTGGGCACAGAGAGGTGCCACACTGGGCAGAGAGGTGCCACACTGGGCAGAGAGGTGCCACACTGGGCAGAGAGAGGTGCCACACTGGGCAGAGAGGTGCCACACTGGGCAGAGAGTGCCACACTGGGCAGAGAGGTGCCACACTGGGCAGAGAGAGGTGCCACACTGGGCAGAGAGGTGCCACACTGGGCAGAGAGGTGCCACACTGTGAACCCACAAAATCACTCTAGTGCTCTACCACTAAGCCACTAAGGCAGCTCAGTGATAGAGATCATCTCATGAGGACAAGGCAACAAACTTCTCCTTTCTAAGGAGAAAATCAGGGAATCTTCTATATTTGGCTGTGGGTCAAATATACAATGCACCTACAATAACCAACTTCTCTTCTTTCAAAGAGAAATCAGCTACAGTAGGTTGGATTTGTCTGCACTGGGGAGTTATAAGCTACACCAGAAACCTGGTTACAATAAGCACAATATGACAAAGTCATATTATTATCTGCCACACTGGACAATGCAAGCCACTGGCCTACTTAAACACACTGTCTGAGAAGACCAACAATTACACAGACACCCCATCTATAACTGATGGTATTAGATGTTGATTACCCAAGTGCAAAAAATTAGACTTTATAATGTGTTTTGAGTTAATTTGAAGAACAGCATACCTTACATTTCCAAATGACTCCACTAGTAGTAAACACATCCTTTGGAATGTCTTGGCAATGCTTGTGAAACCAATCTTTACACACACATCACATTCTACCATGTTGTCTTTACCCACACGCTCAGGCAGGCGACATGTACAGTACAACTCCACTGTTTTGGAAAGTTTTACTGAACGACATTTCCTCTCACTACCGACAACTGGAAAGCGGGAGAAATTACAGTCTGACAAGCACGTTGCTAAGTGCTGCCTGGTTCTACTGGAGTCATATCGTGCCTTGCAAGGATCGACACCACTGCAGATATCAAAAGCATAGGCAATAGCTAAGACTCCACAATCAGATGAGTTTGATTGCCTTTCACCATTTTGATTGTCAAATTTGAGGCTGGACTAAACACCATGCCTGCAATCAAAAACTCTGTCTCGGGGTCGACAGACCCATACAGACTGTCATACAAATTAATAATCCCAGTTTCACAGCCAACAGTTGATACAACACACCAGTGGATGTTCTTGACATTAATAATTTGTACAAACGCGTCCCGGTGAACATCAAAACCACTGTGCAACTTTCCGAGAGTAGGAGGTTGAAAACCTTCCATGTT